CCTCTCACTTCTGGTTATTCTCCAGTGCTGAGAACTTGTGTGGTGTGGGATCTTGGTATAGACGCAAGCGCTGCACCTTGAGGATAGCGCGAGCGGAGTATGAAGACGGCACCCGGGTACCGCTATCCTCCAGTCCAGCTCCCTGCTCCCTGCACTTCGAACGGAGTGAGTGGCACGCTGCTGTAGGTGCGGATCCAATCCCCTAACACATGGAAAGGACCGTCCTCACAGGCGAGTGTATAGCTTGTCTTCAAATTCAACCCTGTTCACAGGGTGAGAAAATGACGATCTCAGGACCAAGGGCTCTTTTTTCGCTCTTTACAGCCCCTACTCCGAAGTCGAGCAATCGAGACGCAATGCTACGTGGTGGCAGCTGCTCAGACCGGAAAACACAACGAAAAGCGGTCATCCTACGGTCATTCGATGGTGATTGATCCGTGGGGAGCTGTGATAGCGCAGTGCTCAGAAAGAATCGGTCAGTGGGAGTGCACGATCCCTTAAGTTTTCAGAACGATTGATTTTTTGAGATATGTGTTTCGCTGAAATCGATCTATCCTATGTCGACGAACTCCGGAAGATGCAACCAGTTTTTGCTCATCGACGATCCGATCTATACTCACTGCATGTGAATGAGGAGGACAGCGGTGAGGATTGAGTACTCTTTCCTCTGGAATCTTTCATTAGTTAAAGAAAAACCCTGCAATTGTGTATTGTGGACAGCGGCATTTGCTTACATACCGAATAGTCGACAAATGACTCTCGAGGGAGAGAAAAGCAAAAAAAAAAGATGGAGAACAATAACCTTATGGACCCTCGTGGCAGCCTCAGTATACGAGTTTTCCTGACGTGCTCGCTTTATGAGCGAGCGATATCTTGCCGCCTTGGCTCTTGAATTCTTTTTTTTTTGCGTCATCCAGCGCTAATACCATCTAACAGTGAAAATGAAGAAAAACGGGAAACACTATGCAAACACTGAACTCGTGACAGAAAATAGCCTTCGTGGGAGGCGTCAGAACTGTCACTTATGAGGGCCACAGGGCCCCGTCACTAATTATGAGGCCGCGAAAAAATGTCAGTCGTAGAGAATGCGGGCCCGACTACTTGTACCAAGGAGGATGTCTGCGAATTGCTTGAGCGGGATGACTGTCTTCAAGATTATGGTGTCAGCAAAGCACTACTGTAAGCCTAGCGATCTTTCGGACTGTAGGCCGGTTCTGCAGGTTATCTTGATGTCCGAAAATTAATGCTGACGGATTAGACCGAGATTTGCACTGAGGAATAAGAACGCAGTTTTGCATTGGCCAATTGACGCTTCATATCCAGCACCAGCACAATTCCCACTGGGATTCGAATGCGGGGCACATCCCGAAATGGACAGAACACTACCGAGTCACTTTTTACTTGTTGTCATTTCCTGCTGAGATAAATAGCAATTGATGTGCTGTATAGAGCTTCAGTAGAAGACTTCGGACAAGCTACCATTCATGAGGAGCAAAGGCGGGCGCTAGGGCGGGGACGCAACTATGCTACGTGCTTGTCTGCTTCCTCTCACCGAGCGGGGAAGTAACGTATACTGCAGTAATAAGACTGAAAAAATGTGACAGGGCAAATGAAGGCAAACAACATTTATGTGGTGTAGTCTCACTACGGTCTCGGACCTTCACCACCTTTGGTCTATTTATGAGCCGGTTCACTTCTTGTACTGAACGCGCAGGCGTAAATTCTGCATTTCCTGCTTGAGTCGAGGTCAGTTATGGTTGCAGAATTTGCTAGGCTGCAATTTAGTGAAGTCGCGTTTAATTACGTGATTAAGAAATGGGGTCGTCCTCCTCAAAAAGTTTTCTTTTGTTCATGGTCACGTAACTTTGCGCGTTACGGGAATTTGTGTAGATTGAAGCTGGGCTCTGTGAGATCTTTTAAAGACGCTCCCGCGATAAAAGTCTCATGGATAGCTGCTTTCCAATTATGAAACAGCAGCTGATAAGTAATCTCCCAAAGAAGAAAACAGGCAAGAAGCGTTCTCCAGAACAACATAAACAAAATCGCTCCCTCACAGTTACACCTCCCTGCGGTCTCTGTGCAGCCCCTAGCTCACAAATCTCTCTATCACATCTCGCAGTAGTTGATATCATCTAGTGCAAAAGAAAGAATACAAAAAGAAAACAACAAAAACGCAGAGGAAAAACTCTGGGAAGGAAAAAGGAATTTTATCAACACGGTGTCTGAATTTGTGATTACGGTAGCGCACCTTTTGTGCGTCGTGGTTTTGCATCACGAAAATTGCGTCACTCGTGTTTTTTACGCGTTTCACCTCGCGAAATGGGTTGAATTGAATGTATATACCTCCAATGAGTAAACTGTAATGAAGGAGAGCAGAATTATCCAGGGGCATTAGCAATGCCCGCCGCCCAACTACCAAGGGGAGGATGGTAGGTCGAAGTGGCCATTTTGAAAGAATGTATACCGGCTGATAATGGGGGGGGGGGTGCATGGCGGACGGGATATTACGAAACGTCTTCCATATCTGCTGGCCGGACTCCCAGAAAAGAAGTTACGGAGGCTTTTTTGGGGGACTACAAATAGGCGCGTAAGGCTATCGAGACCGTGGCAGCATGGCCGAGTGGATACGTCGTAGGGCTCACGGGTGCGTGGTCGAGGGTTTGAATCCTTGATGCGTGTGCTCTTTTGCATTTTTCGAAGTGGCCTGTGCACTTCAAAGTCCATGTTGCGATAACACTTTCCCATTGATAACGTCCGTGAGTTAATGATTCTGAAAGCTGAATGGGCCATTGGGCGATATGCCATTCTGAATAGAAATCACTTCTGGCTGTTGTCTTCTCTTTTCTTTGATTTGAAGAGCATATACAACAAAAGTGCACTCCAAATGAAAGATTTTGCCCTCAAATGAATTTATTGCTCCCGCAAACGACGACATGACCGGAAAACGAATCCGAAGTTGTGCAGGAAGATGATTATAGTGGGGAAAATGCTTCCATATGAAGTGGCGTTGATGTGGCAATCATGCTGGAGATCGCGATGGGCAAGAGCTTCATTCACCAGTGGCATAATGTTGAATTATGTCTATCTCGAAGAGTTTTCGTATCTGCTGGAAGTTTTCGGCTCGTATGACATCTTTTCAGCCGGAGGTGATCTCCATGAAATCGTTCGCAATGGCTCCATCAGTTCAATCATTACATCACGACATTATCATGGACAAGTGTTATGCAAAATAGCTTTGAAGTGCACAGGGACCACTTTCGAAAAAATGCAAAAGAGCACCCGCATCAAGAATTCAAACCCTCGACCCCGCATCAGTGATGCCTACAGACGTTATCCACATCGGCCATGCTGCGCGGTCTTCGATAACCTTACGGCCGCTCAATTTGTAGTGATTTCCCCCAAAAAAGTTCGTAACTTCTTTCTTGAGGTCCCGCAGAAGATATGGAACACGGTTTCGTAATTCCCGTCCGAAGACCTTTCCAGCCGGTATACATTTCATTTCAAATGGCCACTTCGACCTACCATCCTTCCCTTGTAAGAACAAGTGAGTGGCCTCCGTCGGAGGACATCTAGCAAGTAAAGGCGGTCCGACTGAGGAGGAGTTAGAACTAGCACTTTGAGCGGCTATAGCAGCCTCCACGCTCACAATAGAGTCGCAAAAGGTGAACAGTCTTCTAGCTTGGAGGCTAGACCTAGCTTGGCGACAGCAGGAAAGGCGACCACCGAGCCACTTCGATCGCGGGGGCTGTCTTTAAATATTAATCACACTAACGCATGCGTCACACGGCTGCACAGGAAAGGGTACTATCAAGATATAAATGGACTCACTCAACCTAAAGACGCTGTTCAATGCTCGTTTCATGGGTGCTAAGTTCTCCTTGGAAAGCTCCATACTCTCTACCGAGTTTGTCTAGTGTTCGACATGAGAACTTGTTGAAGTGCTGCGTTTATATACTTTGCGGCAGCGTACGCTAGCGTTTCCAGCGTTCGGCAGCGGCAAGGGAAGGATGGATGTCGATCTAGCGTCACCAGCGTACGCTAGCATGACGCTAACGCTAGCGTACGCCGCAGCAAGGTATAAACGCAGCCTTTTCTGAGTCTCGCTGTGGATGGTACTCTTTTACTTCATCCAACCAGCTGCTAATTTCCGGTTTCTACGTAATTAGGATATTCGAAACGAATCCGAATACGTACTTCCGAAACTAGCACTGCTCGTTTCATCGCACACTCCACCAAGCTCTGCTCAGTTCATTTTTTCGTATAGCATGGTACGTCCCCCCTGATCAACTCGGTCTTCTCAAAGTTCTTGAAAAAAAACACAGAGGGTGGCGAATAGGCAGGCAACTTGAAACAACTAATAAGACAGACATTCATGCAGACCCTACTCTTGGTTTACACAGAGTGAGAACTACAGTCCCATTCGCTGCGGACGCTGGCGCATTTCAGGAGGACCGGGTCTGGCGCGGCACAGACGGTTCACCACCAGCAAATGTGAGGGGCAGACGACCACAGTTGGTGGAGAACAGACCGACACCGCGCCAGTTCCAATCCGAACCCTGAAACGCGCCACGTTCGTAGCGAGCAAGCTGTGTTTCCATGCTTTTCTAGAAGTGACTGAAATGGTTCCAAACTGATCTCATGTTGAAAGTTCTACTTCAGACGATTCTCCGTTGATGTTTGCCGAGTTCCCGATAGCTGCCGAAACGATATTCTACCGATCAGCCCTTTCTTTTGCATTCGTCAACTTGAAGCCAGTGCTTGATGGACGTCAGTTATTCAGTTTATTCAGCCCTAATTTCAAAAAGTTGTCGTTCCATACATATTTGTCGTTCCGACGATTTTTCTTGCAGATGTCTTGGTTAGCCCAAAGCGTGTTTGCTACCATCTCACGGATCTCACCGACGCTGAAACGGCTGATTTGTTTGTAGTTTCGAAAAAAGTCCAAAGAATGTTAGAAAAGGTGAGAGATTTGCTTTGAGGAAAGCAACCAGAAAGTTCTTGATTTGATTCTTATAAAGAATTTGTTAGGTGGAACTACTCACTGACTCTAGCCTAAAAGGGGCTAGTCCTTACTGATTACAGCTTCCACTCATACGGTGGTGGACTGGCTTCTGAGAACGACGATCTACTCGAATCGGCAGAATAAATTCGATGAGTTCCACCTAACAACCTTTTTCAATCCCCACAGTAAATCAGGAACTGCAAAATTTACAGTGATGTGAGGTTTTACGCAAAGAGAACCTACATCATCAGAAAATCATTAGTCGTTGGAATCATAATTCATTAGTCCTGCAATCCTTCTTCGGAAACTAAGCTCCAGTTCAGATTTTTTGTCATGGTATTCGAAAGTTTTTTAACAAAAAGTGAGTGTAATATCAGAGGATTTCTAAGCTTCATTGTATTGCAAGTCTTCTTCCGGATTGAAAATACGAAACTCTTGTCCTTTATCTTTCGGCGACGTTTCGGGCCTTAAGCCCTTCTTCAGGCTACAAATATCATATGTACAAAGCCTACACCAACAATCCTACTATTACACATACATCGCAAGATATTCGAAGAGGGAAAGCAATCAATTAATCAACAACTGACCGTCTTCCTACGGGACTGGGTTGGAATGGGTCCGGGGTGGAGTGGGTTCGGGAGTTTGCTGCAAGATGGTCGAATGATGAGCGAAAACCAGGAATACGCGACATCGACTTACCTCCCCAGCTGTCCTTTCCCGTAGAAATGAGACAGCTAGAAAGGCGAAGCAGTGGTAAGATGGTGATACACTGCTATTTGTCATATGTCACGTATCACCAGTGATGTCACATCACGGTGCAGCAATGATCTCCATTGTCCTTCTCAAAAAAGGTTCTTTTTCGTTTCTTCTTCAAAAATGAGTGGGAGGCTGAAAAAATGGTGCGTGGGAGGCTTTGCTTGCACGGGTAAATCGTGCTAAAGAAGGTGAGCAACAACGAAGGTCTCACCCGAGGAATTTTGACTGTTCGAACTTTTAACTATCTCCTCCATTGGCCAGGAAATACTAGTCAACACCTGGAGAACAAAGCACAGCATCTCATCGGATTGTAATCTTGAGCACATAAAGAGAAGCTATTTACTCCTATGGGACTCCTTTCCCCATGTGGTGGGCGAAGAGGGGGGGGGGTGAATGGTTCCATCATGCTTGCAAGTAGCTGCCATTTTCTCCTCTGCACAGAATTGGGGACGAAGGGTAGTGATAACAGGGTGCCGTCTTCCGACTGCGCCCACGCTGCTTCATGGCCAGCCAAACCATACCCAGACGAGCTGATCGTCTGCGACCTCTCGCTTCTGGCTGTTCTCTACATCTCAATGCGTTGACTGCGGGTCTTTCGTATCGACGTAAGTGCTGCACATTGACGACAGTACGGGTGGAGTATGGAGACAGCGCCCCGGTATACCATTACCCCACAGCCCCGTTTTCTTGAAGTTGTGAGCGGAGAAACCACGCTACTGCGACTGCAGGCGAATTTCCTCATGAATTTGCTATTTTACGGGCATAATTTGCCTAATTTTCTCACTCGCTAGCCGAGGACAAGGACCGCCATAAGGGGTGAGCGAGCAGTTTGTTTCAAAACGCTGGTGGATTCTTTAGTCGCGTGTGAATGTCCGCGTTTGCTGTTCCGTCTCGACCTCTTGGACCACTCAGGAGAAAGTTCTAATGGGTGTTACTCAATATTCGAATACTTTCTGCGTCCTCAATGTTCGACGGAGGGTTTCTGGCTGTGATTTTCAGCCGTCTCAAGTCAATGCTCGCTCACTCTTCGGTCTTCTTG